CTAGAGAGCGCTGCTGAAGGTGCCGGGTTGTGTGTCCCGAAGGCACAGATCTGCCGTACGGACAGCACTGGAAACGGCGAGGAGTGCCTTCCCCTGCTTGCTTCGCTGTTGTAGAGTGGGCAGCTCGCAGGGCGGGCAGTGTTCGTGAATTGGTGGCAGGGATGCGAACAGCTGCCATCCCCGCGCTGGCTTCGTGCTGCCAGTGTTTGTCCGCTGGGAACGGAGAGCCAGATGTGCTTCGCGTAGTTTCCAGGCAGCGCCGCTCCATCAGATGACAGTAGCTATTGAGTGCTCCTATGGTGGCCCAGAGACCCAAAGATGAAAGCCTGACGCCTGTCAGCACCTCCCCTGCCATTCCTGCGCCCCTTCAGTTTTCACTTTAGTCCTCTCACCAAAGCAAATGCCACAGAGCACGATGTTGCAATGCTATTGACCTTTATTTTTGAGGAGGAAAATCCCAAGTTTTATAATGTCGAACTGTCGGGCAGATTTGGGATGCACTGAATTTTGCTGTCAAATGCTTTCCTACACCCGTTCCCACTGCCCATGCAGCCGTTTGGAGCTTCAGCTGGGAACCCACCGTCCTCCTCAGAAACACCTTCCACAGCATCTCCTGGGTTAATTTTACTTGGGAAAATGAGAAATATCTGAATGCCCTCTCATGCAAATTTATCTTCATAGAAGAAAAAAAAAAAGCCAATGATCAGTCAAACGGAAAAACACTACAGAGACTTGGAATAATTTCTGAGAGTGGATTGTGTTGTTTCCCAGCTGCTTTACCTTTAAGCAGTCTCTTACCCCTAACTCAGGGGCTCCACCAATTGTAAAAGCAAGAACTAACCAGTGCCAGATTCGAGTCTCAAAATACAAACCATTTTAGATATGGGGAGCAAAAGAGGGAGGGACTAGTTCATAAGAAAACTTCTAAGCATTATTGTAGCAAAAATAATATGGCATCTTTCACCTCAAATAGCCTAACACTTCATAAAGTGATATGAGCTTCACTAGTTACTAAAACACAGCTATTTCTGAAGTGGAACCTGATATCTTTTTTTTTTCTTTTTTTTTTTGTTTTACCAGCAGAGAGGAATGTTTTAAGGTGGAGAGTGAAGGATACCATATATGACCAATCATAAATGTAATCTAGGAGTGAAATCTACTTTTAGTAATAATGTGTTCCAGAGTATCGTAAACTTGCATCCTTAGTTTATAAATGCGATTCATTAAAAAGAGATACAGGAAACTTGAATAACATTTTGTCTTCTCTCTTCCAGCAATACTCTCTTACAGCTCTTCAGTAGCAGATGCTCTGGTTCCTTTTCTCTCTTCATTTAGTTTAATGTCCAAGTCCCGGAGCTGGCTGAGGAACCCTGAATTTGGGCAGATGTCTCTGCGAGCACTCACTGTTTTCAGAGCATCCACAAGTGTCATGTTTTCATGGATCATTAAAAAGGCAAGCACCAAAGATGCAGAGCGGCTCACCCCCATGGCACAATGAACAAAGACCTTACCTGTGAGAAAAAAGAGGCACAGCAAGGTGAGTGGGCTTTAGCATTGCTAAAGTGAGAAGGAGACAGGGAGGACAAAAACTACTAGAAACAAGAAAACTACTGTGGCAGTTAGCAGATTCTCATGTTTTCTAGGATGATTCACATAAGATCATGCTGTACATCTCTGGCGAGGTGGTATTTCATACTGACCTCATGCATCTAACTTAGGCCTCAGATTAAAATAGCTGAAATTTTCTGTGGAAGGAGAAGCTTTCTGTGACTAAACTTGTTAGTATAGTTTTCTGCGGAAAGAAAAATTATGTTTTGGCAGAATATTTTGGCCCAGCCCTGACTGTGATCACTGACAAGTCCCATAAACTCTGTAGGATAGTCTGCTTGTAAAAATGGACTCATAATTTACTGTATCTCAGCAGCCCAGTGTGAGCTATAACCGGGGATTTAATAAAGCACTCCAGTGAAAGCAGCACATCTCGCAGCCAGTCAGAGTCGGAGCAAACTCTGGAACAAATGGAAATTATGATAACTAGGCCATAATCCAAACTCTGCTGACAAAAATTCAGCAGGCTGTGGGTCAGGCTCGTAGTTTTTGACTTAGTTCATTAACTTCTGCTGCTTCTCTAGCTTAATAGACAGTTTGAATCAGTCTCCAGCTCTGAGAAACACTTAAGCGTGTGAAGCATTTCAGCTGGGCTGAAGTGCCGCCGCTCCCAGCTGAGCGCATCGGGAATGGAAGCGGGGCTGTGGTGCGCGGGGCTGGAGCCCATGTGCGAGTCTTGAGTGGAGGCACATGGATCCGGCCAGTTCCTGCAGGATGGGTTTGTGGGCGAGCACCCACGGTGCCATAACCTTCGCCTGGCTCTGAGAGTTGGCCCATCCTCCCACCATGCTGGGCTCGGGGTAGCCCTGGCCACGGCCGCCTTCCCTGGAGCCCATGGCGTAGGCACCCTCGCCCTCCCGCACACGGTGGTTCCACACATGCCTTCACAAGCTGGACTCTGAATCTGAGCTTTGCTGTCTGCCTGTTGCTGCAAGGAGAAGCCATTTGGCTCGTGTTGAAACCCCCTCCCAAAGCTTCTCTTTGCCTCCCTCTTACCTCCTGAAGTGTTTAAGGCTTTGCCTATGAAATTGGCAGCATCGTAGAAGAAGATACTTAAATCAAAGGATGGATCATCAAATGCTTCTACTCCATAGTACTCTATTTGCAGATCCTCGTAATATTTGGCTCCTGTGTTGATGCTATATGGCCCATCTGCTGCATTAAGAATATGAGTAATGTTGAGGCTTTGAAGAGTAGTTTTGCTCCTAGCAGCCCACCTGTTGAAAGACATGAAGGACTCACTGGCAATACTCCTAACATCTCTAAAATAGCATGGCTTAAAGCTTACTGTCTGCTCCTGCTAGGGAGGAATGCAGGATCTGCATCTTGCTTATAGAGTAGCACGTTTTGAAAAGCCTGTAGTGTGCTTTGCACATGAAAAATGTGATATGGTGGTGTGGAGAGCAGCAAGAGCGCAGACTTGCCAGTGGGATACTGTTAGTTAAGCAAATGCCTCCCAGCGGCTAATCCCTAGGAACACAGCTTACTGTATGAAGTGGTCGAGTTTTTCCTTGTTTAGTGAGTTCTAGAGCTAATGTCTCATTCATAGTGTGTATGGGTCACAAGGGCAAGAAGCCACACAGGTACAGCAGCACCTCATTCCTGGTTTGGACTTGAAACAGCGGCATCATGCTCACCAGCCAAGTTCTTCCCTTTTCCAACTGTACAGTGGGACTGAAGTTATTGCACAAAACTGTGATCTTTAACTGGTGTATTCATGAAGAGGAGGAGTTGGGAAAAATGAGACAATGATCTATATAATTTGTAGTAATCCAAATAGTAGTAAATGGCAATACATAGAAGTGGTCATGAGAACAACAGGAAATTCCTGTTTGATATTTTCAATTTTGCTATCTTTGAAAGAAAGCTTGGATTTGGACTGGCAAAGTCTCTATTATGTAATTCATTTGGGTCCTCCTACATCTGGCTCTTCATCCTTCTACTCCTACCTGAGTGTGAGGGCTACCATGATCTTGTCTGCTGCCTTAGAGCACAGTTTCCAAGGCAGATAAGGCACCTCAGAGTTAATACCGATTTGGGATGGTCCATTTAAGCACTTTTGTCTAGAATGCAAGTAATTCTTACTCACCCAAATCTGTTTTAGTTCCTAGAACATATAAAGCCCAACTCAGACACGCTATGACTAAGTCCCCATTTTGTATGCCGTGTTTTTCGTGACATCCAGACTCCTTATGTTACCAGCCTTGGAAGCCTGTCTCGCAAAACATTCCTGCAGACCCAAAAGCCGCTCCCCAGTATACCACACCCCTTCTTCCTCCTTCTCCCAAGGAACCGATAGCAGCTTATTGATAGGACCGTATGTTCTTACGCATCTCCCAGGTAAATATTTGGCCAGACTTGGTCCACATGATTATCAGACCCTCCTCTGAACCAAAAGAGCCGCTGGAGGTCTGATAGCGCTGGTGTTTCATAGGAAGCTCTGCTCCCAGTGCTGCCAGTTGGAGATGAAGAGTCTCTGGTGTGAGGCATCTTGCTCCTCTCTTGCATACAATCGGGCTATATCAGAGAGAGCTTTTCTGAAATGAATTAAGAGGAGATTTTCATACAGAAATAATATTCCCTAGAAAGTAGTCCTGTTCATTACCCTCCAAATAGCATGACGTTATTAAAACTAGTGTGTGCAGCAGGGCCTGCAGGTGCTGCTAAAAGCATCCAGAGAGCAGGATTGACTCTGTGGTAGGACTCCACAGAGTAATTCATGTAGAGTTCATCCCCTGAGAAAGCAGCAGCATAAGATAATACGATTTAATTTCTTGTCAGGTAATGCTGCTGAAAAAGAACATCCTGTGCCATGCAAAAGCAGCACTGGCTGAACCTCATAGTTGCAGGTATTGTTTCTGTTAGTATAGCGCTGATGAGTGTACGCAGGGAAGCTCCAGTATTTTATGTTGGAGAGTTACCAAAGTGTTTGTGCACACTTGATTCTGGTTGGTTAAAACTGGGATTTTTTGAAAGTATGAATTATTGGACTACCTTATACCTATAAAGCTTCTAGGGCCAAGGTGAAAGTCTTAGGATGCGTATGTAGGATGTATTCATATAGCACAAGTGTGCACACACATAAAATGTATGTGCATGCAGTTTTCTTTTATTTATAGGGATGTAGTTAAACACATACATCTACATATATGTATACATATGAATGGATTTTCACATGCATATATATCTATATATGTTGGTACAGAAATCGAGGAAATTTGAACCATCTTTTTCTATCTCTCAGGTGAATACCTCTGAACACGAAGCCATACTGGTGTACTTGTGTATGCCTGTCTCGGTCTCTCTTCTGGGAGCTGTTCCACTTTGTATAAATAATGTGATAGCTATTCGCCTCCAGGAAGAGGCTGTTTCCCCCATTTGAGGGGTAGGGTGCTTACTTGGGATGTGAGAAAAAAAGAGCATCTGAATTTTGGGTAAGTTACAGAGCTGAAAGTTCTAGCCTTGTTGCCCTGTTAAGAATCTCATCTAGGTACTGTTTTGTTCCCTTACAGATCATGCAGTGGAATATGGGCATCCCTTCTGCAATGTTGTTTGCTGGTTTAGACTCAGGAAGCTCAGGCTAGCCAGTCCACCCTGAAGCAGAGCTCAGTCAGGAGCAGGAGTTCAAAGATATCCGAGCAGTCCCTTCTCTGAGACTTTCAGAGCAGTTCTCCTGCCAGAATCTCATTATCCTGTTCTTGTCCCAAGAGAACATGGATAAGCTTTGTTTGGTTGCTTGTTGCTCTTAAAGCCATAATCAACAGGGGAGCCACACTAGAACTCTTCCCAAAGTGGGGTGGCCAGTGTTTATTGTGGTGTGGCATCAGCTCTCACTCTAATGCCTGAATGCCTAAACCTAGAGTTGGGTTTATTTTTTCAGCAATTCTAGAAGACAAGTGCAGGTGGGACCTTTGGAAGTCATCCAGTTTGTGCCCTGCCCCACAGCAGCAGCAGCCAGATGGATGTTGCTCCTAAAGCAACAATAACAATATCCAGGTACATTATTTTTAAGTGTAGGCTAATTTGGGGCATAAGCAGAAAGCAAGGGAGAATATCTTATGGAATATCTTATGTTGCTTATGGAAAAAGATGTAGAGATGATGCAAGGCACATTACTGAACACACCACATATATTTCTATGACCTCAGCCTAAGTTTGCTTCCCCTGACCCATTTCGATCCTCTTTCCCACAAATGTTAAGAGCAGTTATAGCTTTTTCTATGTTCCAATAAAAAGGAAGTGTCCCTAGGGTAACTACTTAATAAGCAAAATATGAAAATCATAATAAAAATTATGGGAGAGATGGAAAAAAATGGCTGTTTTTACCTTCAGTGATGAAGGAAAAGAACTGCAGAGAAGCAGAGGGGAATATAGGGATAAAAGCTTACGAATTTTTCAGGGCAGATAACATAACACCAAAAGCCCTGGTAAAGGAGTATGCTGTGCAATCCCAGCACTGATTAGCATGAAGAATAGCACAGAAAAAGATACTGTGCATTACCCTGCAAGTTTTACTGCCTTGCAAAAGTCATGCACTGTGCTCAAGAGCTACTGCCAGCATTGTCTTGATGACCCGTTTGTACTTTCACCGACACAGAACGTTAAACCAAAGCAGTAAAAGGAAATAACGAAAAAGATAATACAGCTTCTACATCAGGAGATTCATAAGACCACAGGCTCATTTTCGAGGAGTGTGGCTGGCTCTCAATCACTGCAGATGTTTAAAGGCTGAAGTTGTGGAGGTAAGCAGATGGATACTAAACTTTCAGTTCGCTTAGCCCTCACTGCTTTAAACTTCTGTTGTAGCCCATCAGCTAGTTACAGTAGTGGAGATGATTAGCAGAGAGAGAGAAAGAGATGATTAGCAGAGATAATTGTGAGGCCTGTTGTTCAAGACCTGACTTTGAGGAGGGTCTCCAAAGACTGAGTCGTTTTAGCACCAGTGAAACTTAGCAGGCTGCTGCAGCCAGGGAGGCGCTTTGCAACAGAGCTCCATTGCATCACAAACAAATGGTTTGTGTTCATAGAATCATAGAACATAGAGTCATACAACGTTTTTGGCTGAAAGAGACCTTCAAGATCGTTGATTCCAACCTTTTCCTAGCGCTATCAACACCACTAAACCACGTCCCTCAACACAACATCTACCCATCTCTTAAACACCTCCAGGGATGGTGACTTGACCACCTCCCTGGGCCCCCCCCCCCCCCCCCCCCCAGCCTGTTCCAACACCTGACAACCCTCAGTAAAGAAATTCTTCCTAATATCCAACCTGAACCTCCCCTGGCGCAACTTAAGGCCACTTCCTCGTGTCCTATCACTCGCCACTAGGGAGAACAAACCAACCCCCAGACCTTGAGGATCATCAACAGACCAACCTTGAAGATCATCTAGGTCCAACACCCCAGCCATGGGCAGGGACACCTTGCACTAGACCAGGTTGCTAAAAGCCTCATCCAGCCTGGCCTTGAACACTTCCAGGGATGAGGCTTCCACAGCTTCTCTGGGCAGCCTGTTCCAGTGTCTCACCACCCTCATAGTAAAGAACTTCTTCCTATGTCTAAACTAAGTCTACCCTGCTCTAGTTGAAAACTATTGCCCCTTGTCCTACCTCTGCATGCCCTTGGAAACAGCATACAGCAATCCTCTTTCCAAAAAGTACGTCAACATCATTTGCTTCACATGTCTAACACCAGACAAGTGAGCTCCTCATATCAACATGAAGCGTATCTCCTCCCAAGCACACTGCTCCATCCTGCGCTGCACTGCCCTTGAAACTGAATTGCTCTGCGGGGCCTTCAAGATAAGCTTGGAAATAGCTATACCAGATGATTGGACTAATGAAGAAGGTAATATGAATTTTTTAATTGGAGGCCAGAGACTTTGCTGAGGGTTTCCTCTCCCACCCCTTCTACTTTAAGATACTGCAAAGCTAGCAGAAGTGCTGCCACTGATTATATTTCTCTAAGCTTCTCCTTCTGGGTGGCTCCCAGAAGCTGCTCTAGTTGGAAACAGCCAATGACTACAGCAGGACAGAGCCCCTCTAACTGGGGGGGAAAAAAAAAATCTGCTTTACAAGATCACTGATGTTTTCTGCAGAGATCTAGGCCAGGCAAGTTGGATAGGATACTTTTCTTTTAAACGGTAGCCTGGAGGGACCTAAAGGCCATTCTTGTTAGATTAGATTGCGGGGCTGGTGCAACAGACCCGCAGGCAGCGTTTGGGAAGGATGCGGGTGACTCCTCATGATACCTGCAAGCAGGTCCCCAGGGACTCGGTCCTTCCAGGACCTCCTCTATGACAGCCTGGCTGATCTTTGCATCTCACTTATGTTACCCAGCCTGGTGTCTTTCAAGGTTTTACATGAGATTATTGATAGCCTTGGGCAGAGCAGGGCACTGATTTTGGCTGTACCTGTGGTTACTGCAATAACACAAACACTAGCTAATGATAACATGATACAGAGAGCTCCTGCAGCCAAATATCCTAAACTCCCTGAATCAAAACCTGACAAATGGTTCAAAATGCCGAAGCATGAGATCAGAATATAATTCATGTGGGACAGGGTGAAAAAAAAAGCCTCTTGATGCATTTCAAATTGCTATCTACTCTGTTTTTTCTTCTCTTTTCTCTCAGCAAGCATCTCTGCACTCATCTTTTACACTCCTTGCTCTTTTCTCTCAGGTAGTGCTTAACACTATGGCTCTTTGTCCTCCTGATGGAAAAATCCAGATGGAAAGAAGTGTGGTTCACAGGGAAATGATTGTGTAAGTGGAATTAATCTTTCAGATACTGTAATGTGAAATCCGATCTTCCCTTTTGTTAAGAAAACCCAATCTGTGTCTCTACATTTTGGTCAGAATCGGATGCTAAGAGAACCCAGGAGTCTCTTGAGGTAGAGCTGAAAACCTTGTGTGCAGAAACTGGCACATTTAAAAGCAATAGCAAAGTTAAAACAGCCAGATGGGAACCTAGCAGGCAACCGAGAGGGGAACTCTCTGTTTTCCTTGCAAGCCTACAGGGGCTTGTTTGCAGGAATTAGAATCTCTCACCAGCAGTTCACTGCAGCTCTAATACCAAGTGGTACTGAAAATGAGAAGCAGGTTATGGCTGATGGTTTAAATGAGGCACCTGTGGGGATTTAGAAATGAGATCCTGGACTCGTCTTGGCGTAGACCGTGCACATGGCAGAGCAATATTGCTTTCTTGGCTGACTGCATCATATATTACGGCTTTTTATTTTGCCCACGCTCAAACAGCAGGGAACAGTAGAAGTTCGTTGCTCCTGCTCACTGTTTAAACCCTGATCTGCTTCACCAGAGGCAGTGCCCCTGAATAATGGAAAGCAGAATCGGTCCCTTGGCCTCAGTGCGGGTATGTGTTCAATGCAGCACTGTATTAATGCCATTGCCATTATTCCAGAGTGAAGAGAAAAGCAGAATGTACAATTAAAGCTCTGTTAGGTTTAGTTTTTAAGAGAATTTACTACCCGGGAAAGATGCCAGATCGAGGGCTCTGGAAAACACAGCTCTCTCTTT